GATAGCAATCCACGATTATCTACCAATGTTAGGCGTCGTGTACTAGATCGCTTACGCATGAATTCATCCGACTCTTAATGTAAATTATTTTCTAATAGCAGTGGTATGTTTTGTTGTACCTACGTTTTTCGATCCCGTACTATTGATACCTGTGTTTTTGATGTATAACTCCGAAAATATTTTCTTTAAAATCATGTTCATTCTCGGGATCATACGTAAGCATTAAAAGAAGCAATGTCTTTTCGTCATTTCTACCTGCACTTCAACATATAGCAGTTTGGATACAATCAAAATGAGTTATACTATCGAAAGACGTATTTTCAAAAATATGATGGTGCTAACTCGAAACGTTCTCATTTGCGACATCTGAGTATAAATGTGTTTCCTTCACATCTCATTACTCTGAAATATATACCTTTCGTTTATTTTTGAAATCCTCTGTTATTTGACTATCGAAATATTACTTTACTTTACTCCTCTGTCTTGTTGTTATTCTATCTTCTGTGGTTTGTCACGTATGTACTACTAATAGTTGTTTCTGTCATATCTCGAAAGATGACCGAAATCTGAAATGTAGTTGCTGATTTTCGAAAGTTTTAGGCAACTAACAGTAATTTAATCTACTGTTTACGGTAATTGGTTGTGTGAATAGAGAAAATCAATCAGTTAGGCTGTAAACATATCGTCAAAGAGTGATAAACAACAGTAATTATTGTGTTTTAAAGCGTTTTTAGTAGTTTTAGATGCTTGTACTAGTCAACCCCGTAGTGAAACCAGTTATAGGACCTAGCGGATTCGTATGATTTTAAATTTATTGAATTTTTCTTATATAATAATTTGGTTAAATCCCTTTGTTTGTCTTGTGTGTGTTTTCTATTTTTCCAGCAATCCCATTCCTATCGTGGATAGTTTTATATGTTCATCAGTTTATTATATATATTTAAATTATCGTTAGCTTAAAATTGATACACAATCATATTTGCTTTAGTACATATATTCTGTCTTCTTTTTTATGACTTCTCATCATTTTGTTCTTGTAATATGATTTATTGCAAGGAATATATTGTATGAAAATATATTTTCTTAACTCAATGTATGTCAGCAATATATGCTGTGTAATTTTAATTTAACAAACTCTATGTGCTCAACTTTGTTTTCTCACATTCCTTAACACCTATTAGTTAGACTTTGTCACCTTTTTATTAGGGGAATAATATTCTATTCTCATGTTTTTCTAATATACACATGCTAGTTCATGTAGTTCGTTAAAAAAGAGACAGCTTTATTGCATATTTTGTCGTTCAGTAACGTAAAGCAATAAGAGCTACTATTCTATAAATTACATACTTCTCATGACCTCGTTATTCAATACACAATGTGGTTTATTACAATCATTGTGTTATTGAAGTTCGCAAGTTTTAGGTGTGTTGTCCTTGTTTTTTTTAAAAAACTATTAAATAATTAATCATGTCGTTCTTATCATTTTCGTTAGCTATCAGACAAATTTAGTATCATCTCTTTGATGATGATTCTAGGTTGTAAAGAAAAAAAATTTAAGTGTTAATCAGCGTTTTGATGTCACCGTTAGTTTTCTTTCTTTCCCCAAGGTTGTTTTCGGGCATGAATTTTTGTTGTTGCTCTTTGTTACGTACTATTTTCTTATCTTTTATTATAAACCTAACCAATCAAATCACGAAAAAAAACTCAAGTATGTATGTAAACTGTTATCTTGAATGGTTTCGTCTAATGTAAAATTTTCGCTAATAGTACACTGGATATTGTCTTACAGGGCATTTTTCTCGTTTTATGAATGATAATTTTCACCTATGAAACAATTATTATTTCTACTACTATTATTAGTAATAATAATGCTGCAGAGTCTTTCAATCATTTTTCTGTTCTAATCTTATATTTTATTTCTCTTATGGTTGGTATTTAAATACAGTATATGTTCGTATCTCTGTGTGTCTGTAGCTGCTGGTAGCCAGCAAACATGTTTCACTGATTATGAAAAAATATAAAAGTTTTGATTAATAACGTATTTTATCATTTTCTTTGCTATAATCCTTAGTTAACTAAAAGTTATCGTTCATTTACACTGCACTTGGGAAACTAGTTATTGCACTTCATATGAAAATTCAGATGGCGATGTGATATTTTGAACTACATGCGTCACTGTCTAACTAGTGACGTAGTTGAAGTGGAATAGAAAACTGCGATACACTGCATTTTTTTATTGCTGAGATTTGCTTTTGGTGAATTTTATTACTGTATGTCATCACTACTACCTCGGGACTATTAAGTTGTCGGAACACAGACTATTTATACAAATTTTAAACAATCTACAAAAATGTTTTGATTACTTGCATATAATTTCATTGTTCTCCAGACTTTAAACTGTACTTTTCTTTCAGTAGAATGAATCAGTTCTTAACTCCAATGGAAATTACGTGACTTGGGTTGTACTAGCCACATCCCATCTGGCTCTAAACATAACGAAGAGCAGAGTCAGCTTAAGCGCAAACTGACAAGAAACCTACGCAATGATTGTGAACAGTGGTGGGTAGCGAAATCAAGAGAGATGGAAAAAGCAGTGGTAATAGGTAACAGCAGACAACTGTTCAGACTTCTTCAGTAAACCGGTATTAGGAGTCCTACTGTTAGTGTAACTATCTCGGAAAAATGTGGACACATTATTCACTCTCAATCTAGGAGATTGGATTGATAGGCAGAACACTTTGAGGATCAGCTCAACTGGCATTCAGTCACACTTGGGTTTCCAACGATCTCTAGTCAACCTGAATGGCAAGTTAATGTAGGTCCTCCGACTCTATGAAGTTGAAAAAGCAATAGGGAATCTGAAGTGTGGGAGAGCAGCAAACCATGACAGGTTTACTCCTGAGATTTTTAAGGATGGTGGTCCAGTATTAGCAGCAAGATTGACTGAGGTCTTAGGTAGAATTTGGGAACTGAACGTAATCTCATCTGACTGGTCTCAATCACTGATTGTGCCAGTCTACAAAAAAACGACAAAAGTCCTCTTGTGATAATCACAGAGGAATCAGTTTGACTAATATAGTGTCTAAAATGTTAGCTTCAATAATACTTCGATGCCTAACTAAAGCTCGTGAAGAGCAGATTATAGGAAATCAGGCTGGTTTTCGACCTGTACGTGGTTGTATAGACCTGATATTCACACTACGTCAGATCCTAGAAAATAGACACACATTCAGATGGCCCACAATCGTGGTATTTCTCGACCTTAAAGCGGCATTCGTTTCTGTTGATCGTGAGGTTCTATGGCAGTGTTTGTTACTGAAAGAAGTACATTAACCTTACAAAGGCTGTCTACTCGAAAACAACTAGTCGAGTGAGAGCTTATGGCGAACTGTCATCAGAATTGAATACCTCAAGTGTTGTTCGTCATAGCTGTCCACTCTCTCCATTCTTGTTGAACTTTGTCGTATACGTGCTTTTAGAGATAAGACTTTTGTCTTCTAAATTTCCAGGAGTTGAATTTCTACAAGGTCATTCACTCGTTGACTTAGAATATGCTGATGACATAGTTCTATTTGGTGAAGACGCTGACAAAATGCAGAGTCTTATGACCACTCTGTTTTTTGGTGTATGAGTAGGTTGGAAGAAAGCTAGGGGCGGCCAGACCAAAACATGGCACAAGTCCATAAAATCACTGACAAGTGGACTGAACCATGTTGGTAAGTGTAGACTACCTGGTTGGGATCCACGAGATGATAGCAACCGATGGTTAGAGACCTTGAATGGCATGGTTCAAAATCGTTTGGAATGGCGCAAGTGCATCCACTCTTTGTGCTCTCCCAAATTCTAATCTGAATTTTTCGTGTCCCTTATTTTCTCTTTCCAAATTTATTTCACTGGATTATATTGCTTGAATAACATCTTCAAACCCTGATCTTTCCGATTACTGTTTGTACTTTTACTAACTTTACCACTGTGGGATTTGAATCGACCACTGCATCTCTGTGCTAATGTGGTGTGGCAACTCGAACTGATATACGCACGTATGAAGTTCTACGTTGTCACTGACTGATAGTAGACCTGACGATGGTGTCTATATTCTAAATTTCTCTTCCCACAATCAATATGAATGACCGAATCCTCGTTTTCGAATGTTTCTAGGCTGTTTGACCATCACAACAATATTTTGTAGTTACAACTTTGTTAGTTATAGTAACTCTGAAAGAAGAATTTATACAAATTATTCGGGAATTAATAAAGTTGGTTGGTAGTTTCCCAACCTACTTTCTAAAAATGTCAAAGTTAGAATAATTTGGAGTTTTATGAGACTGCAACAAGATTATTCGTTTCTATTTGTTTTGTGTTTATCATTTTTGAAGTCCGAGAAAGAATTTATTGTTTCTTTTTGGATCGTATGATTATTAAAATAACAACATGAATAAATTGAAATAGTGTAAGGAATGTAGTCTTTAGGGCTGTTCATTTGGACCGATCTAGAATACCATAAATTGGCACCATGATTATTAGTTATTTATAATCTGACATTATCGAGTGGAGGTTTCCGAAAATAGTTTGCATGTCGGAGGATTAATCTTTCACCTACTTAGTTGTAAATTTACTAATATTTCACTGATCGATGCACTGAATTATTAAAATTGGAATACGGATATCTTCGTGTTTGTCTCCGTTCTAAATTGTTTTCTAAGGAAATTCACAGCTTTGTTTCTGTGTATACAAGGTCAGTAAAATGGTATCGGTGGATAAAAATCTGGTGGTTTTACCTAAGTATATCTAAACATTTCTGCAAAACAAACTGATTGTCAAAATCATTGATCGTGTCATGATTTATCTCAATGTTAACATTTGAACAAATGCAATTCGAGTCTTTTTTATATAGATTAGACAACTACCAACGGAGTCTGCACTCGTCCAAAGTTATCGTGTACCACGATTCAACACAATAAACTTAATTTAAAACGCCTCGTAAATATTACAAAAACGTTTGATTCTCCGTAATTATTGATAAACTTATCATTAAACGTTCGCATTTCTTGAATAACAAGCCAATAAATTAAGAGTTGTTTTCCCCATCCTGATGATTTCATAGAAATGAAAATCAAACCGTACAAATTGTCTATCATATATAAAACGTGATTATAACGGATAGTCACTAAGCGAGAATTTTAATTGGCAAAAAAAGAGAATACAATTTTTACTATTAATGACACAATTATAATAGTAGTTTATGTAACGTGTATTCAGAAACTGATAAAATCAATTTCGATTGTACAATGAAATCTTTTTAAATTACATGGAAATAATTATTCTGTTTGGAATGAATAATAATAAAATGATAAATATAATGGTTACTTCTGGCAACTGTCATTCAGTTTTTGTATTATGCTAAATTGAATTAATGTATTTTTGTCTGTATACAAGACATACACATTGATGTAAGTTTCCAGAGGAAATTGCACAAAGGGAAGCATTAATTAAAATAACAAAAAAATCAAAGGAATAACTAAATAGTCGTCTAGTGAATAAAAGTCCACCTTATAAAATTAGTTTGAGTAAATTGGAATTAAATAAATGTGTCTTTATAAGGCAATTTTTGTTTTAATTCATTCTTTCTCTTACAGTTAAATAAGTGTTATTAGTGCAAGGTAATATTTAAGAAAAAAACATTTGTTTTCATATTAAAAAAATACGGTAATCGGTTACAAGTGTTTTTGTTTTCTTAGATTGATCACAAAAGCAGTAATGTAACAACAGTCAAATATACAATATAAAAATCCAGTGTTCGTCATTATCTTTTAGTATAATCAAACAAATAAATCCAGGAACTCTAGCTATATAGCGTATAAGATACTAAAAAAATATTAGAAGCGCAGCTCGTTTATTATTGGCATTATGATAAATTATGAAGCAAAACAGAAGTCAATCTTTACAATAACCGAAATGTAAAATAGTGGGAGCAGTGATATCACTCATAAAGTGAGAAAATTTCTTGAACATTTTATTTAAAACTGAAAATGCAATCTATACGTACAAGCAGTGGTTTTTTTAAAAAAAATACAGCAAAGTATTCTGTAACCTTTTTTATACACAAACGTTGAACCAGGATTATAGATTTACACAATTTAATAGGCTCAATGATTTATGATTCTGTAACAGAACGAGCTTGTTCTCTTGCTAATAGAATGAGTGGAATCAAAGTTATCACTGGGCGAGCATTCTGTTGTATGAACGGGTGCTTCACATGCAAAAAGAGAACAAATTCGAATAAGAATATCAACATGGGAAAATACATATATCTACAATAAGTAATATAAGGAGAAATGGACGCCAAATATACTTTTCATTCTGATGTTATTCACGTCTATTGACATAAATATACCCAAACTATGGTTTGGGAAGTGTTCTCACATATATATTAAAACAATTTGTTGAACACGGCTTTATCTACCCATTTAGACTAGGTAACATAGTTGTAAGTTATTTGCTTGAGTCATGGTGTTGCAAATTTGGTTGATGTTATTCAATTATTAGCAGCACTGGTAAGAACTGTTAATTAATTATTTAATCTTCTTTTTTTAGTTCCAGCTTACTTAACTGTTATGTGCTATTTGATTAAGATATTGGGTCACACTTTGTCATCAATGTTTTGGAACAGTTTCTCAACATCGGATGGAACGCTAATTAGTTTCTTTTTACTCCATTCGAGCTTGACTCTTAGGAAACTATTGTGTTTCTACTGCTACGAACCCCTGAACATGATCATTTAACCAACAAGTATAAGCCTCAATTGTCAGTTTCATTTCCACTAGTTGAGAAAATGTTGCCATCTTAAATGCTACTCTTTCAAAACTGTACTTTATTTAGTCAACAGTACGCAATTTCATGGTAGTAGATTATTTAGAGCTGACTTAAGCCAAAATATACCGATAGTCGTAAATATGTTATTACAATATAGTACCTTATATAAAATGAATAAATCCTTAATCTAACAGATAAAAGGTGTTAGGTCCCGATAAACATAATGAATGGTAACTTCGGGATCCTTTTTTGGGCCAATACCAAACGTATATTTTTATTGTATAATTGTTAAATAACTAAACTATTCATATTCATGTTCCTCTTATTATAAGTTTTATTTTGACCTATGAACCATTATTTTACGTTTTAACATTCTTGAATTATGCCCTATCTATTAGTCACTGCCTCACACATTCACAGCCACATTTGGCCAAATTTTGTATATATGTTATTTTCTATTTTATGCTGCGTTGTGGTCTGTTTGATTGGTATATAAGCTCAGTATGTTTGAAATATAATGATTCATGTTGCAGAGGCTGAGATTGGCGTTCTGGACTTAACTGGATGGGCTAGGCCGAAAGCAGGACCAATCATAACTCTAGGCTGCTTGCACGTGTTTTACCCGTCCTTGATCCGATCGACAATTCGCTGTTTCTGATTGGCGGCTTTGGGCTATAACAAAAGGTTCCAGTCCAATTATTCAGAGTGACATTTATCCACAAGGATAGTACTTTAGCAATCTGTAACAAACAAACATTAAATTCCGAGAAGCGATTAGCACGAAAACCATTTTATCAGGCACTTGCTTCAGTCTCCTGTTTAACGTCACCTTTAAAAAATGAATAACCGTTTACAAATAAATAATACATTTGTGACATCCCAATGAGTAGAAAAATTAGGTTTTCTACTTATTGGGATATTACAAGTATATTAATTTATTTATAACAATCTACCCTAATTCTCAATTTATTCGAAATTAGCAAGTCAAACCTTGATAATGATACCTCATAACCATTTACGTTTACTTTGTACAGTCTTACTTAGATACTGCTAATGTTTATCTCTATATGACAAGCTTATAGTTCGGGATTAAGTTCGAAAATTGTTCTAATCTCATTGTCCTCTCTAACTGAAAAAGAATCTGAGTAGAATAAGATTTATTCTACACTGTTGTTGTTATAATCACGTTAAAAATATCGAGAAATGGAGCAGAATTCACTTCGTATACAACGTTATTTATTCATCCTTCACAGAACATTATAAAATCTATTCAAAACGTTAGTAAATGTTATGTATATATATATATATATATATATATATATATATATATATATATATATATATATATATATATATATGACTTGATTAATGAATCACAGTTAATTAAAAATAAAAATGTTTACTTCAATTAGTTCAGATGCGTTAGCACGAGATTGAGCATCCACTTCTAAACATCTGTCAAGAAAGTTTAATAATTCCGGACTAAGATTATCTTTACGAAAATCTGGTTTACCATTAGTTGCTATTAAATATAATGCCTAAATATTTAGATAAGAAAAATAATAAAGAGGAAACTAATAAGAATTTTTTAAAATATGAATCTGATTTGTTTTCTAGACTAGTTTCTTTTAAGATAAGATGGTGGTTGAAGGTAGTCAACAGGAAACCCACCATTTTATCTCAACATAATGCACGTTATATTGATTCACATAGACTATTGGTTACATTTCAACTTGTTCGATGGGATTCTATCTGCTCTAAGAAGGACCTGACTTACATGACATTGATCACCACCTTGTGATCAATCAATTGTAAATAGTTTCCTTTAAATATAATTGATTTGGTTCTTTTTTACAAACTGTAAGTATAGAAATTAAATATACAGTAATATAGTTTTTACCAAAACTTCGTTTTTATTATAAAATGATGTTTATTATTAATTGATACTTTTCTATCAAGTATTTTACGTTAGTTTTCTAAACGAAATAATGAACAAATGGAAAGATAATTACAGAAATGTTATTTTTCTTTTGTTAAATAAAATATAATTTATAGAGTTGAAAAATATTCATTTATTGATTGAATGATATTGAATTTATAGTTCTCTAAACATCCTTTAACAAGTACCTGAATAATTCATATTTGTAATTTGTTCATTTCAAGGAATAAAAGATTCTTATATGTTTGACATTCATTATAAACTTGTCAATAATAAATAAATAATCCGTTATATAATATTTCAGTAGTTGAAATCATAAGTCTACTGAAGCTAGAGGACCATGGAAAACCTGGAAGCACTGGATGGCCGCTTCTTCCTAGTATGGGACTCTTCAGCAGTGCGCATCCACGATCCCGCGCCCCGCGATATTCGGCCATCCAGTGCTTCCAGGTTTTCCATGGCAGTCAAGCTTCAATTGACTCATGATTTCAACTATTGGAATCACTAAAATCTCCACAAAACCCCTTCTAATATAATATTTCTTAAATTAAAATGAAAAAAGAAATGTTCAAATTTGTTTCTCGATTAAAATTTGCTTTATCGAATAGAATTATGTAATGAAGATAGTATTATTCAACTCATATATCAATGTCTAAATAACCATTTCAACTTATATGATATCATAAAAGAATCCGAATAGATTTGTATAGTTAAAATTAAAAAAAATATATATATATTATCCATTCAGATGAATATCAAGCAAAATACAGTTGAACTATACAGACTAATTAAATAGAATATCAATAGTGTTTTATTTTATTTATGAAAGCTAATGATATAGTTGAAGTATTAAAATATTTCGTTTTTTTGTGTCTACATTCTTTTGAGAATATGTTTGCATTTAATATACAAAGGACTGATACATTTCAAAGTATCGTGACCATATTCTTTTGCTGTTCATGAAATAAGAAAACTAGATTACGTAATATGAATAATAACAATAGATTTAGTGAATATAATAAAATGATTAAAATGTTTTTGTTATATTACAAGTTGAAATCATGACCCAATTGAAGCTAGACCACCATGGAAAACCTGGAAGCACTGGACGGCCGTTTCGTCCTAGTATGGGACTCCTCAGCAGTGCGCATCCACGAACCCGCCCCCCGCGGGGAGTCCCATACTAGGACGAAACGGCCGTCCAGTGCTTCCAGGTTTTCAATGGTGGTCTAGCTTCAACTGACTCATGATTTCAACCTGTGAAAAACATTTTAATCATTTTATTATATTCACTAAATCTATTATCATTATTATTCGTATTACGTAATCTAGTATTATAACCTTTTTATTAACTGTGTTCACATTTCCTCACGGAATTAGTACTTTTACAAAAAATAAGAAAACACCTAGAAGCATCAGGTCTAGAACTGTTTTTTTTGTGAAGTAAGCTTTTTCTATACAAAAGTTGTTTCTATTCACTAGATAAAATGTAAAACATTTAGTAAAAGACGTATTTGCTTTTATAGTCATGTAACCTTACTATACAAGGAAAAATCAAACCTATATTGCAGTACTGACCATGCTCTCACTAGTAGGTGATCTAAAGCGGTAGTCCAAGAAGTTCGGACGCTCAGTAAAAATATGGGAATTTAAACAGTTTTTGTTGGTGATCAAAATTTCCTGATTGTTCGTTTGTTCAACAAAAATACGCCAAGAATGGACAAAATCCATCCCCTCGTTCAAAAGCTGTGTCAGGAAATATGACCCGAGAATTTAGATAGAATGTCCGTACAACAAAATCCTATGGAAATGACCAAGATCGCGAATTTCGTTAACTCGCTTTTGAGCAAAACTTTCAAACAACTAAACCGATCTCCGTTCTTTTTCATCCAATTTATCTTGCACTTATCTGTCCGTGAAATGATTGCATAATGATATTTATAGGCGGAAAATATATTTTCACGGAAATATCTACTAATTCGTTGATCATCACTGGGTTGGAAAGTTAAAATTTACGATCTTTATGTCTCCACATAGGAATATCTTATCGAGCTCATTTATTGATTGTTTTGCACAACATTATCTATTTTTTCAAATAAATGCATAGACGAACACATGTAAATGTTTTTGCATTACATCGGTGATTTGCGTCAAAATCGCTTTTTTTTCATGCGCACTGCACGTTCTTTTGCTCTCCATATTATATAAGGTGACTACCCCTAACTCGTTGGTCTCCCTATATCAATAAGTCTTGGACATTGCGCAGTCGACTTTCTCACCTTTGAATGTACCCTGTTTACACTGTACTCAAAAAACTAGCTGCATTGTTGCAGTCTTGTTATTATAGATACAAGGGGGTTTGGATTTATTGCTAAGTTTTTTCCAGTTTGAATAATATATTTGCCGAGTAACTGTTTTGGTCACATTTATTATTAAGGCAACTATTGGTCTGTCACTAATATTGTATCTCAGTCAGTAGAAATTCTTGACCAGTAGAGTACGACATCGAGTGATGCAGTTACTCATCGAAGACAATGGAGGATTGTTGAACCATATGGTCGATTGTTTGAAATCAAACATGTAAATTGTTGGGTGTCAATTTAGTAGTGTAAATGTTAAAGACTTGTGATGAGACGTGATAATTTTGTATTCGACCCACCGAAAGTTCGTGGATGCTTGTTATCGAGATGTCTGATACTAGGACGAAACAGGTATCCATTGCTTCTTAGCTTTCAGTGATTATTTAATTAAGATCTACTCGTGACTTAACTATTGAAACAAAAGCAGTTATTCAAAGACATAGCTTTGTTAACCAAATAAAATATCTCACTAAAGAGTAAAGTTATTAAAAATGAGTTTTATCCATTGATAATAAGATCGATAGACAGACATAAATAACATATAATTAAGAACAGTCTAAACTGTGTTTGTCTCATATTACACAAGAAACAGTAAATGAATATCATAAAAACAACAGGAAAAATTACTACTGACGGTCATAGTGAGGACAATATAAGGGATATATATTTAAAGAAAACAAATGAAATAGACGAAGTGTAAAATAATAGCCGAATCTTTAGAGGAATGCATCCGCTTCTGTGATCATTGTATCGAGCGTTTCAAGCATAAAATACTATGATTCTGACAATACTTATCCATAAGTCTGAACCCCATGAAACAGTATTAAATAATAACCAACGACTTAGCAAACTGATTTTATGTTTTCTTTTGATTGCACATTCTTTCAGCTTAGTCGTATTAACTTAACTTATAAAGTTAAGTAAGTTAAGTTATTACTAAGCTGAAAGAATGTGCAATCAAAAGAAAACATAAAATCAGTTTGCTTAGTCGTTGGTTATTATTTAATACTGTTTCATGGGGTTCAGACTTGTGGATAAGTATTGTCAGAATCATCGTATTTTATGCTTAGTCGTATACTTGTATAATATTCAGTATAAGGTGATTGTAAGGAATAAGTGATACGTATTTCAACCATATCACAAGAAGTTGAGATTTTCATCAAAGCATTCTGAATAGAACAAAAGATACTTAACTTGTTTATCTATAGTCGAGCAGTTTCTCTATGTACATGCTTTCGTACTGGACTCTATATATCATATAAGTTATACCATAGACTACGTTCGAAATCCTCTAAGTAAATTCATGGTTATTCATGTTTATTTATATTGCTATTAAAATCCACAAATAAATAAGTTCTGAGTATTGTGTGTGGATTGATATTGCTCATAATGGGTAAAAAAGATGCTTGCACGCAACTCGGAGTTGATCTGGAAGGATTTTTTTTATAAATCCCAAGTAGTTTAGTACGCACCGAGTTGATTTAAAAGGTTTAAAACATGTAATGAAGTTACATTTTTCAGGGATATGATGTTTTATGGTCACGGAATGACACTGTTTTTGACTTCCGGCTATATTCTGTGTAAAGATAACTATAATAAGGTTAAAATAATGAGTTTTCCGTTTAGAGATTACTACCATCAATGAATAATTATTTTTTATGGAATTATCACAGGCTAAAAAATAAATAAATAAATTTTTACAAGCGAAAAGGTTTATATTGAATGATAGAACCTTCCAGTTGTAATAAGTGTTTGTTATACCATCTACGATAAAATAATATCCATTAGCTCTGACATTTTTACAAACATAAAGCAAGTTCTCATCAAAGATAAACTTCAAAAACCTACTGACTTTGAAAGGAGTAATTATCTAATGTTTTCAATGTGAAGTTCATAATCAATAAGTCGAACGTTTTTTTTGTTTACTCTGACAAATATGCTGTTTAAATTATAATAGCCTATAATTGAATCAGTTCATTCTTTTGTAATACTTGGTAAAATCGATTTTATATGTTAGTGATAAGTTGAGAAACCATGAATTTTCGGACTTTACTATATATAGTTAAAGTTTCCATGACCGTAAGGATCGGTCGTGCACAGACCAAATTGCAACACTACGGATCATCGTCGAACAATCAGTTGAGTGGAACTCATCATTATACATCAACTTCATTGATTATGAAAAGGCATTCGACAGTGTAGACAGGAGGACGTTATGGAAACTTCTTCGACACTACGGAATTCTTGAGAATATTGTCAATATAATCCGGAACTCATACGACGGACTACAGTGCAAAGTAGTGCATGAAGGACAGCTGACAGATGCATTTCAAGTAAGGGCCGGAGTCAGACAAGGCTGTCTACTCTCCCCCTTCCTGTTTCTTCTGGTGGTCGACTGGATTATGAGGACCTCAACATTCGAAGGAAAACACGGAATACAATGGACAGATCAGAATCAATTAGACGATTTGGACTTCGCAGATGACCTAGCCCTCCTATCACGTACACACGAACAGATGCAGATGAAGATAGCCAGTGTAGCAGCAGTCTCTGCATCAGTAGGCCTCAGCATACACAAAGGGAAAACTAAGGTCCTCAAATTCAAAGCGGAGAACAGCAATCCAATCACTCTTGATGGCGAAACTCTGGAAGATGTAGAGTCCTTCACATACCTGGGAAGCATCATCGATGAACAAGGAAGATCCGATGCAGACGTAAAGGCGACGATCGGCAAAGCAAGGGTCGCATTCCTACAATTGAAGAACATATGGAACTCAAAACAACTTTCAACCAATATCAAAGTGAGAATCTTCAATACGAATGTCAAGGCAATTCTACTGTATGGAGCTGAAACTTGGAGAACTACAACAACCACAATCAAGAAGGTACAAGTATTTATAAATAGCTGTCTTCGCAAGATACTCAACATCCATTGGCCGGATACAATCAGCAACAGCCTTCTGTGGGAGAGAACAAACCAACTTCCAGCTGAAGAAGAAATTAGGAAAAGACGATGGAAATGGATAGGACATACATTACGCAAATCGTCGAACTGCATCACGAGGCAAACCCTAACTTGGAATCCTGAAGGGAAGCGAAAAAGAGGAAGGGCAAAGAACACATTGCGTCGGATAATAGAAGCAGATATGAAAACGATGAATTACAACTGGAAGGAGCTAGAAAGGATTGCTCAGGACAGGGTTGGATGGAGAACGCTGGTGAGCGGCCTATGCTCCTTCACGAGGAGTAACAGGCGTAAGTAAGTAAGTAAGTAAGTTCCATGACCAATAAAATAATGAATAAAATTTGATAGATTGGGTTTAAGTATAACAGTTGCAAAACTCATGTCAGATTTTAATTTTATACAATTTCAGTAAGTATAACTCTATGGAGTCATTTTAGAGAATGTATTCCTATATAAATTCATGAATAAGCTGATAGATGTTGTAGCATTCCATCATGTCAATAGATATAGATAATTCTGCAAATAAATTCAAAACAAAACTGAGAACGCTGAAAACGTCTATGAATGTAATATTCATATTATTTAGCTGTTATTAAAAGAAAAGCAGTTGTAGTAATTGGAAGTTTGTCGTGAAATAATTAAAAATTCATTAAATTGTTTTGTTTTTTTAAAACCAATTTTAAATGTAAACGTGAATCTTTTGAATTTTATGATTCTTATAGATGAAAATTACGATAAAAATAGTTATAAACCGAAATTAAGTTTTTCATATTCTCTAATGATACTTTTCGTTTTATTATTTTAAAATGTTGACGTTTAAGTTGTTGCATTAGTATATACTATGAAATCTTAACTGAAATTTTATGGTATTGTATGTGAATAGATAATTACTATTCATGTTGTTATAATGATAAAGATTTGTATTCCTCATTGTCAATATTTAAGACTGGATTCTATTAAATGGACTTTATGAATTCTACTGATAACCAATATACAAAATAATATCAGGTAATGCCATTTTATATTTAGAAGCTGAAGAACACATAGTAATGGTTTTTTAAGAATTATACTATGGTAATGCTTATTTTATTCTCCCAATACAAATTAACTGAAAGATCAGGACTTTTTTTCTAGCACTAAGAGATACTTCCAAAATATACATAGTAATCTCCTGGCAAATTCAAAACAAAAACTGGACATGAAGACGGGAGCAGAAGGATTGGTAATATGTTGTCAAAATTTAGTGATATCAGTGACGTCAGACACTTGTATAAAACGTTTTGACTGACAAGACATGAGGTATCTGTCATTTTACATATCAATACAAAAGGTTTGATATTTCCTAAACCATTTTAGACAATGATTAAGTCTTATCCAATCAATCTAAACTTAATGATGACATGTTCTTCCAGCCTGGACAAATTGTTTATCAAAATTCTTGTTAGAATTAAACATGACTTTAATTTCTAACTGCACATATTCCTTGAGAAAATTCTACAGAATCAATCAGTTGTAAAAATGAATACCAGTAAAGTTATGATAATCACTCGCAAAAATATATGCAGCATATTATGAAATATATTCATTCCGGAATGAGTGAAATCACTATGTGTATAACTGTTGTAAAAGGTTAGTCAACTTTAAAAGTCTGAATTTGCATTTGTTTTTTTCCTTCTCAAGAATGAGATATTAAATAGCAGTATTCATCAAGTACGTGGCAAGCCCATTCGGCCACTGTATCATTTGTCTATTCATTGTAACTCAGACTCTTAATTCACTATGTTAATTTCGGTGTGTATGATCGAATGCATGTCTGTACATTAACTCTTAAGCTATCCTCCTATTGGTTTCAATGTGCAGATAATCGATAATTTATCCACACCCGATTAACTCTCAAAAATATATATGGGTTTTAAACTCACTCACACACTCTCGTCTCGCTCTTGCTATGGCTCTCGCTCGCTTGCTTGCCTCTCGGCATAACTCTTCTATGCTTGTTTAACGCATCTGATCATTTGGATATATGTGTGTGGTCTCGCAATAAACGTAATCAGCACTTCGTATTTGCCTTCTGATTAATATACCGTTGGGACGTTATATAGAACGGTTATCAAGACGAACTGTATACGAAGTTTAAAGATTATATCGAATACCGACCACTACAAGTATTTTCTTTATGTTATTATATCTAATTTTGATATAGCAAGTTTACATAATTCTGAAATTATCATTGAGACAACTTAACATTTCCATATTATGATAGTTATCTTACTGAGATATTAATTATTTAGTATAAAATAGGTTGTTTTTTTTCAAAAAAAATACAACAGTAATTTAGTAAAAATTAATTTGTCTGTAAAATGTTTAATCCACTTTCTCAAGAACAAAAAAAAACAGTAGCATGGTTTCAAACAAAACGTGCTAGTAGTTCCTTTTTTTTGGTAAAATCATTTTTACAAAATAGTATCGACAACTGTTCAAATACATTCTTTCATACTCTTTGTCTATTCATATTAATATATGTAATAACTATTTTAAAATATAACTTTTAACATTATAGAAAATACAATTAAATGTACTTACTTTTAAAGGATTTTCACTTAAATAAGGTGGTTCACCTTCTAACATTTCCAATGTCATTATACCTAATGACCAAATATCAATTTTATGACCATATTGTTTTCTGCTAACTACTTCAGGTGCCATCCAATAAGGTGTACCAACCATTGTAGTTCGTTTAAAATCATCATTTTTAGCAGATAATTGTGCACAAAATCCAAAATCTGTTAATTTTACAGAACCATCTAACCCTAAGAGTATATTATCAGACTTTATATCACGATGTATTACATGTTTGCTATGCAAAAATTTTAAAGCTTGTAAAGTCTATGAGAAAAAGAGAAAAACAATAAATACAGTTATTTAAGGTATTAGACTTTTATTGAAGTAATGTTTATCGTAATGATAAAGTATTAGAGAACAGAAATAAATCTCAAAAAGAGATTATTTTAAGAACGATCTCTTTTTAAACTTGTGTTCCACCAGTCATGATAGTGAAACCTCATCATATTGATATGATATACTGTATGAGAAAAAATTATATGGAATGATGAATGGAGGTACCACCTTTATGACAGTACATAAGTTTAATTATAAAATTCGAACGAGTGTAATAAATACTTTTTAAATGCACCCCGTTACTGATTGATGAGATTTATACACATTATGATTGAAATAAGGTCAGAAGTTTGTGACTATAAGTTGCGTGGAGTTAAGAATGCATGCATCCCGGTCGAATGATTTAATGTGAAATCTTTATTGATCAGAAAGTTATGCATAAATTATGAAATGAATAAACAGTTAAAAATATATTTCGAACGTACTGATGAAAATAGTTACACTTGTAAAAAATATGTGTATAAAACACGAAGAACCATATTTTCTAGTAAATAAACACTAAATTCGCGAGAGATGTTAATGGACATGACATAAGTGTCTTCTTCAAAGTTAATAAACTTTTTTTTTATTTACGCATCTCTGCATTCTTTTATCACTAGTAACTAATTTAAGGATGGGTGAAATACAAGTTTATACTTTAGGTTAACACCATAACAGTATGCCAGTGTGCTTGTCTATCTGTAAGCAATTATTCATTCTATACAAAGCAGATTCGTTTTAAATTTGGTATAAAAAAAGCAATTTAAATGACTAAACGTCGACATGGTATAGATGGCGCATCTATTCTTGAAAACTCTACAGACACTGATCACAATGTTCTACAAGAAATTTTTTGACACTAAATAGTTTGTATGAAGTACAGATTTACTGCTGATGTTAATCACAAAGTTTTGTAATTCGTTTACTATATACTCAGTTTGCCTACAGAGGCGGTATATTATGTGTTTATGTTTTTACCATAGTTTAGATTATCAGATCGAAATGCTTCGTAATTATGAAACTCCGCTTGTAGCTCTTTCAGAGTTACTCCCAGCTCCAATCCCGTGTACAGAAGGAGAGTTAGGCATATGGTCAGCATCTACATGTCCTAGAAAACAAATTTCATAAGAAAACTAACCAGAAAAATCGTTTAGTCTATTTAAGCTCTTCCTTGAGATTTGAAGCACCTTCGTTTAGAAGAATTATGACACCATATGGTTAAAGCCGACTCTTCGGAAGTCACGAGGATAATATCACTCCTAACAATCAAATCAACAACAATTAACATAGATATATAGAATGTCTGCACAATGTGGGAGAGCGGATATTTCAGTCTAATAGCTGCGGAAATGAGGATGTACAACATGGCGATGCTCGAAATACGTAAAGCCCATTGGATTTAAGATGGACAGAATAGATAAGCTTCTGGAGAGTTGCTGTTGTAATCTAGGTATGAGAAAAAAGTGCTCTGCACACCCAAAGAGTTGCACTGATATTGTCCAAAGTAGCACTAAAAGCATTTATCGAATGGGAATCTCATGGATCTGGAATCAGTAAAGCATCCTCCAAAACAAAGAAGGAGGGAATCACAATGAATGTTATCTAGTGTTATGCACCCACAAATGATTGCAATGAAGACAACAAAGATCAGTTCTATGAGAAGCTGCAGACCGTCGTAGAGAATTGTTCAGGAAAGGACCTGACAAACTTGATGAAAGACGTAAACATCAAGCTGACATCACCGAGTATGAGGACATCATGGGACAACATGGACTGGGAGAAAGGGACGAAAACGGCGGGAGATTTGTGGATTTCCGTACTTTCATCATGGACATCCAGTGTAGCGGCAGCCTCTACATCAGTAGGCCTCAACATACAAGGGAAAAACCAAGAACCTCAAATACAACACTGAAAGCACCGAATCAATCACACTGGATGGAGAAGCTCTGGAACAGGTGAAGAATTACACTCATCTAGACAGCATCATCGATGAACAAGGAGGATTGATGCAAACGTAAAGGAAAGGATTGGCAAGGTATGGACAGTATTCCTATAGTTGAAGAACATATTGAACTCAAAACAAATATCAGTCGACATCGAACTCACAATCTTCAAAACGAACATCGAAACAGTTCTACTGTAGGGAGCTGAAACTTCGAGAACTACCACAATCACCATCAAGAACGTTAAGGTACTTAAAACAGTTGTTCATGCAAGATACTTAGTGTCCGTCGGTCGGATACCATCAGCAAAAGTTTACTGTGAGATAGAACAAACCAACTTCCATCTGAAGAGAAAATAAGGAAAATAAACTGGAATTCGATAGGACATACATTGAAGAAATCATCAAACTGAATCACAAGGCAAGGACTAACTTGGAATCCCAAAAGTAAAATGAAAAGAGGGAGACCATAGAACAGATTGAGTTGGGAATTAGAGGCAGACATCAAAACAATAATATTTGGAAACAACTGGAAAAGCGAGCCCAAAATAGAGTTGGTTGTAGAATCCTGATCAGTGGCCTGTATTCTACAATTGTAACAGGCGAGATTAAATAGGTTAGTAAGATCAATAATTGATTCAATGAATGTTATTGAAACTTCGCTTCATCAAATCTATCTTAAATAAATTTATTTTAAGTACAGTTAAATTTGTTAGTTGATACTATTATGTTACATGTCCAAAGTTCATTAGCATACCTTCTAATATCATTTCACAGTAGAAAAATGTATACTTCTCTACTTTCTTAAATCCACATCAAAAATGATTTACATAGAAGTAATTTAAATTAAATCAGTGAAATCAAATAAGTTTATTTATAATAATTAAAACATTTTTAAAATACTATCCTAATGCAAAAATATTTATGTTGCCTCTAGAATCGAGTGAATATTGTACGTGAATAAACCTACAGTCAGTTATTGTTGTTAATAGTACACAATAGTTTCAATAGACTTTTCTGACCTTATGGAAAAGAATAAACCCTGTCGAAGTTAGATATTCGATATCCTGTTATTGATTTGTTTGTTTTTTTGTTGGTTCGCAAGTAAACATACATACATAAACACTACTATTATTATTATTTATATTATTATTATCATTATTCAAAATACATAAGCCTACCAAAAGTGTATTTTTACACAGATAAGGAAGATTTTAAATGAATTTTCACATTAGTATCAGCGCACATTCATTCATTCATTCAAATTTATTATTATATAAACTAATTGACAGTCAATATTACATTAAAGTAATATTACTGCGTATGCAATATCCTTGATGAATGAAACACTTTTAAAAAATGAACAATTTTTTTTATATCCCCTTTAATCCTGACTCCATTATAAGATATTCAACGCCTGTGATCTTCCTAACTACTGTGTATGACTTATTGCCGAAGTATTCATTTTGTCAAAATACTCGAAAATTCTTTCTTAATTATGAAATGGGAATCATGAATTGTCATGATTCGTCAACTCGTCAATAAAATCCACTTGACTTTGTGATAGCTGATTATCTTGACAGCATAAATTGTAAGGTTAATTAATAAACGAATATATTAAGAGTATATCACAGTTACTACCAACTGATTTATAAATGATTGACTACTTACAACACAAAAATGTAAAATAAATCTTTTTCTTATGAATAAACATTCGTTTACAAACTTTAATCGGTATCACTTTATATTAGTTTTTAAGTTAAAAGTCTAATATAATGGATTATACCGACATTTTAAATACGCTGGATTCTCATGAAGTGGCACATCACTTATACCTATAAATGAAAACACTTAATGTCCTACTGAAATGGATCCATTATAACTTGACCATCTTATTGAGTTAACATCAATTTAACTCAGAAACATACTTTTTTTTCTCATAAGTTAGTATGAAATTATTTTGCATATCATTAATTCCATCTAAGAATTAAGGTAGATCAAAATGCTTACTGTATATTATTAAAACGTCATCCATGTTTCTTGTAGACGGGGAATTCTCAATGAAGAGCTCTCAGTTCATATATCTGAAATTTATTATTTAAACAACGTATCTCCACTGTGAGCTGACTGTAATTTATAAGATATTGACTGTATTAGGTTACCAATTCTTAAAGCTAACCAAAAACAGCTGTCCAAATTTGTTTTAGTTTGATTTTTATACTTGGACTTGACAGTTAATGAATCGCGATACAACAAGTGGAAACACAGTAGTTATTTGAAATATTGACAAGTGACATTAATTTTTAGCATTAAGAGATAAATAAATGTGAAAGTACAAATTTATAGTGGACTTACTTCACGACAAACTGTAGCAATATGTGATTCACTCATACATGTTTCTGTAATGACATCAGTTAATGAACCACCATCTAAATATTCCATTACGACCCACAATTCATCTCCTAGCTAGGTATTGAGTTAAGAGTAAATTGTAAACTTTAATTTTGTTGAATATGTTATATCCCAGTGAAGATTAAAATACGGATAACTTCCGAGGACTATTAATGGACTAATATTCTGTAAATATCCTTATTGTATAATTATTCAATGATTAGATTATGTATATTTATATTCCTCTTATCATAAGGTTCATTTTGACCTATAATTTATTATTATACGATATACTGTCCCTAAATTATGTTCAGTTTATTAACTACTGCCTCCCACGTTCACAGCCACTTTTTGGCTTTATTGTGGACAAATATTATTTCCTATTCTTTGTGGTGCGATGCTGTCTGTTTGTTTGATATATAAACACGGTATGTTTAGACTCAAGTGGACGAGCTAGGCAGACATAGGACCAAATAAGACTCTAGGCTGCTCATACCGGTCGAACGTCATTGGTTTTGGCACAGTGCGAAGATTGTATAAGTCCTATTTTGATTCGTGGATAAGTCACGTGGTAAAAGTCGGATATAAGTCATACTTACTTACTTACTTACGCCTGTTACTCCTCGTGAAGGAGAATAGGCCGCTCACCAGCATTCTCCATCCAACCCTGTCCTGGGCAATCCTTTCTAGCTCCATCCAGTTGTAATTCATCGCTTTCATATCTGTTTCTATTATCCGACGCAATGTGTTCTTTGGCCTTCCTCTTTTTCGCTTCCCTTCAGGATTCCAAGTTAGGGCTTGCCTCGTGATGCAGTTCGACGATTTGCGTAATGTATGTCCTATCCATTTCCATCGACTTTTCCTAATTTCTTCTTCAGCTGGAAGTTGGTTTGTTCTCTCCCACAGAAGGCTATTGCTGATGGTATCCGGCCAATGTATGTTGAGTATCTTGCGTAGACAGCTATTTATAAATACTTGTACCTTCTTGATTGTGGTTGTTGTAGTTTTCCAAGTTTCAGCTCCATACAGTAGAACTGCCTTGCCGTTCGTATTGAAGATTCTCACTTTGATATTGGTTGAAAGTTGTTTTGAGTTCCATATGTTCTTCAATTGTAGGAATGCGACCCTTGCTTTGCCGATCGTCGCCTTTACGTCTGCATCGGATCTTCCTTGTTCATCGATGATGCTTCCCAGGTATGTGAAGGACTCTACATCTTCCAGAGTTTCGCCATCAAGTGTGATTGGATTGCTGTTCTCCGCTTTGAATTTGAGGACCTTAGTTTTCCCTTTGTGTATGCTGAGGCCTACTGATGCAGAGACTGCTGCTACACTGGCTGTCTTCATCTGCATCTGTTCGTGTGTACGTGATAGGAGGGCTAGGTCATCTGCGAAGTCCAAATCGTCTAATTGATTCTGATCTGTCCATTGTATTCCGTGTTTTCCTTCGAATGTCGAGGTCCTCATAATCCAGTCGACCACCAGAAGAAACAGGAAGGGGGAGAGTAGACAGCCTTGTCTGACTCCGGCCCTTACTTGAAATGCATCTGTCAGCTGTCCTCCATGCACTACTTTGCACTGTAGTCCATCGTATGAGTTCCGGATTATATTGACAATCCTCTCAGGAACTCCGTAGTGTCGAAGAAGTTTCCATAACGTCCTCCTATCTACACTGTCGAATGCCTTTTCATAATCAATGAAGTTGATGTATAATGATGAGTTCCACTCAACTGATTGTTCGACGATGATCCGTAGTGTTGCAATTTGGTCTGTGCACGACTGATCCTTACGGAATCCAGCTTGTTGATCTCGAAGTTGGGCGTCTACTGCATCCTTCATCCGGTTCAGCAACAATCTGTTGAAGACTTTCCCTAGTATTGACAGTAGTGTAATGCCTCTGTAGTTTTCACATTTGCTCCGATCGCCTTTCTTTGGAATCTTGACGAGGTGTCCTTCTTTCTAGTCCATCGGCAGTTGTTCCTCCTCCCAAATCTTTTTGAATAGAAGATAAAGCATGCTTGTGGTTGCTTCGATGTCTGATTTCAGTGCTTCAGCTGGTATGTTGTCGGGTCCTGCCGCTTTCCCGTTCTTGATTTGTCTGATGGCCATTCTAATTTCTCCCGTAGTTGGTGGATTGACATCTATAGGAAGATCTATGTGTGCTGCTTCGATGTCCACTGGATTCATCGGAGCCGGCCTATTCAGGAGTTCCTCGAAGTATTCTACCCATCTGTTCCACTGTTGTTGAATTTCGGTGATTGTCTTGCCTTCTTTGTCTTTGACCGGCCTCTCTGGGTCACTGCATTTCCCTGCGTATATAACAATCATCAAATTTTAAAGAGAGTAAGAACAAAGGTTGGTGCAGAATAATATGAATTCATTTTATTTCGTTAGGTTCTCATCAGCTGCTTACAACCTAAAATATTTGAAATTCAAATATTTTAGGTTGTAAGCAGCTGATGAGAACCTAACGAAATAAAATGAATTCATATTATTCTGCACCAACCTTTGTTCTTACTCTCTTTAAAATAATAAAGTGAACTATGTGTATGAAATCATCAAATTGTTATCAATCTCGTTGTGATACCGAGACAATTTTTAGTGCAACGTCAATCTCTAAGAGCACTTAAATCAATGAATTCATAAAATATAGCACTACAATTCAGCCAGAACAAGTAATTAATAAAGTCTTTCCATCTTGATATACTGTAGTTGCTGTTCCCAATACATTTAATATGCATCACGGAAACTCTTAATGAAAACATAGAATACACGGAATCCGTGTGATAAATTGATTAAGTATGTTTCGATACTGAATAAGGTGAAAATATTAAAAAATATGATACATTTATGTCATCAGTGTTTTAACATCACGTGATTAGTTGGTTAACCATTCAGTTTGCTAAAAATTATAACTTACTAATGACAAATAAGTAACATTTTTTATATTCTTAGTCACGGTAAATAACATTAATAGCTTGGTTTACTTTGGTATTAAGCAAAGTTTGCTGTTTTGCTCGTACTATTTTTGTTCTTTGTATATTCGGTGAAGTTTTCAGCAGTTTGTGTTTGATGTTAGCGTTTGTGAATGTTGAAAATATTTGCACATGATGTACGTTTAAATTAGTATGTAGGTCAAATGAAATAACGGAATCAAAATTTATAGACAACATAATTAATATAAAGTGATAGTAACAAAAATGTTATTATCAATCAGATTGAATATTCAGTCAAGTATTTTACACCGTCAGAAGTAATTTGAACTAGGTAAGATATAGTAACAATGGGGTGAGTAGTAAGTGAAAAAAACAATAGATGATGGTACAGGAGAACTTACTAAATAACTATCTAAGTAATTGACTACATTTGGATTTCGATATGTTCTCATAACCAAAATTTCGTTGAGGATTAATTCTTTTCTAGGTTGTTGTCGTAGACTCATCTGTTTAATAGCTACACGACATCCAGACTGAAGTTCTCGACCGATATAAACAACACCCGAAGCTCTAAACATTATCAATAAGTATGAATTGTGATGATGAAAGTACAACAATTATCTTAAACGTAAAGGGGATAAAAAGATGATCTTAAAATTTAAACAGAAGGAAACATAATTAACTTATTTTCAGTCCTCAGTTTCATTTACATAATTAGGTGCGTTCTTTTATAAATTAAAATCTATTTTATTTTGAAGAAAAGAAAATCGAATTGTAAGCAGATAATTGGATTTTATTTTCAACAATCGACCGTAATTAAGGACGATTTCAGGATACTCAATTCATGTGAGGTCTTAAAAATATAGTTGTATTCCCATGATAGTTTATAAGCTATCCACTACTTGAGGTAAGTTCAATAAATCATTCGATCTTGTCATCTAAATCTTTTGACTCGAAAGCAGAACATGATTAACCATGTCAGGTAGTTGTATGTAAGAAATAATCAACCGAAAACAGTGTTTTCGTCAAATTTCTTTAAGTATTGTTTTCGCAGGACGGAATGAGATAAATCAAGAACGATCGAAGAATCACATAGCATATCTTAGTGAATCTCACACCACATATATTAATAAGACTTAAATGTATAATACAATTAGTGTGACAGGTGTTAATCAGTATGAAATGAGAATATAAGCTAAAAGAATGATAAAAACACCTGATGTATTAATCTCCCATTATGATTTTCATTACTTTGGTCTACAACAATATTTGTGATACTAAATGTGGGTACGGATCCCGGTGAACTCAAGGACGCTCTGAAAGATTTAAAGATGTCCCATTCAATCATCGTTTGGAGGAACATTCCGAAACCCCAACGTGTAGCTTCCCGATTGAACATATGCTAAAAACCATTGTATGCAGACTGAATAATCGTAATGATGAATTCCTTTTTACTAAAAACTATAAGTACCCGAGTTTTTTGTACCGTATTTGACACTAGTTGGTATACGATTCCTTTCCAATCGTTTTCTGTATTCTAACTTGCGAATTGAAGGGATCATGTGTTCGAATGCTCAAGTTTTACGCGGTATAGAGAAAATTCAAGTTCTAGATATAACAATAATATACCCAGAATCACATGAATTTTTGTCGAGCAGATGAACCAAAACTTCACATTGGTTTGATGGCTAAGCATTCCGGAAATGTTCTTGATATTTAAAATGGATTTTATTTGTAGTATGATTTCTGGATAGATAGTTTTCCAGTGACTTCCTTAAAAAATCCTATACTTAATATGACAGTTTTCATAATTAAAATTTCGCAAACCTGTACTGTATTTCAATTTGTTTAGTCACTGAATAAAAAGTCAACGTGTGAACCCAGAAAATGATACTTTATTATTAAGATAATAGAAGTGCCAACGTGTTAGTTCATTTTTAGATATTACTTATTGTCCATAGTAATGACAGGATATCTGAATTCATGGATAAAAAGCTATTTTCACAACGTTTTAGAGTAAGCGTATTTCATTCTATGATGTCTACGAAAATCTTAAAAGGACTCAGTTAATAGTGCTGAAATGGATACAAATATTACATGAGGAGTTTTGAGCCTACAAGAAAATTTTCAACTAAAAACTGGACCCACAGCCACACAGCAGCATACATGGTGTTAGTTTTTATTACGATTACTTGAATGAATTCTCGCTGTTCAAGTGATGTAATCTCAGGACAATATTTCTGAAAATAAAGAAATAGAATTCTACTGATTAACGTACCCATGACCAATACGTCCAAGGGTTTCATATTTTTCTGAAGGTTTGCCTCGACTAACAATTGTCCTTAACCTAGCAATAATTTGTTCATCACGCATACGAATTCTGCTACGGCAACTTGGGGAATGCCGAGAAACTAGACAAACTGGGGGATTGGGGTTTTGAAATCCGGTCCCATCATCTGGAGAACTTGTGTCACTGGGAGTAATTGCGGGTTCCAGGTTTCTGTTGATAGCCAGAAGTTTAGGAGAGTTTTTCAAGCTCGCTGCTGACTGTCTTCCTGAGTGAACTGCAGACTAAATGACGATAAAAAGTGCATAAAGTCCTTACAAACCAGATACTTGCTTCAATTGTAAATATAATTGAAAATATTACGTGAAAATGTGTTATTTCACCTCTCAATTTAAATTAGATACATAAAGTACAAGTTTAGTATGGGAAACGCAAGAATATAAGACAGAAAGCATATCATTCAGTAAAATCTGCTAAGATCCTACAGAAAATGTACCAATACAAACTGTATGAATGATTTATAATTACTGTTAATTCAGAATGCGAAAAACAATTAATACAAATAATAATTGTTATATAAACTGAGTAAATAAATATCTGCAGTTGCTTAAAGAAAAATATCACTTTAACTGGAAAGATATATCAATAAAGAACTTTTCCAGTACACTATTAATTCAAACTCATGAATTCACGGAATTTCAATTTCAAATCAGACGACTTGGGTGAAATAAGATTCTAGGGTAAATTACTTCACAACAACTGTTAGCTTTTGATTAGCAGATTTCTACTTGAATTCTTACAGATATTTTTTGATCACCTCGTCTTAGAAAGCAAAAATTCACAGGAAATGTTTAAAGATCAAGCTTTTTAAATAAAACTCATTAACAGTTGCGTATGTTCCAGCCACGTAATTTTATTTTCACACTGACATTTTAGAGACTATTTTAGTTCATATGAAACCTTTATCAAATAGTGATAGCAACTGATTTAAAAAGATTATATGTATTCAACTTTTAAATGCTTAACTTACTGTCTAGGACAATTACTACAAACGTTGTGAAAAACTGATCTGTAATAAAACGACTTCTGTATGTATTTATACATTTTTAACGTACTTATAATTGAATAAAAACTAGACAATCGATAATTTGTTAAACGATGAACAACACAGCATATATTTATGCATGAACCCAGTGATAAATGATCGTATTGATACATAGAGTGCTATTTAATTCATAAGTTTAGAAAAATTCGATTACTAATGAAATTTTTGTTTAAGGACTCATTTAACCTACTCAGTTATCAGTTGGATGAAAATATTTCTATTCTACAGGAGGTCAATTGCTGTCTGAATAACTCACTAGCAATATAAGAGACTTTTCAGCTTCTTGATGCGAGTTTGAATCCCAAAGGAAACACAGGTTTCATCAAAATTATAGATACACCTTTATAATAGGTTCACGGTTTCTAGTCCACCACTTCTATTTACATAGCATCTCACTATGGCGGACGAGATGTCAAGTTATTAAGAGTAGTAACCACATTGCAACTTGATCGATAGAATCCGACCAGCACTGAACATGAAAAAGCTGACAACTAATTAATCAATCAATTTAGCATACGAAAGATAGCCTTTCGCCAAAGTATACGGTTTATTTAAGATTTATATAAGATTTTTCTAATGGGCTGATATTCGAGTATACCTCAACCTAGAAATAGCTCAGCGTTAAGTTTAAAAGCAAAATCCTTTTTAACTGTGCTAACACAAATAATACTGTTCAAGGTGACCGTAAAAGTGATATGGTGTTGAATTTTAATACGCCCTTTGTCCCATCATTAAAACACATTCTGGATTTTATAGGAAAATGAAGGGAAAAATGACTCAATAGGTAGTTGACTAAGCATACTTAGTAATTGTTGTTCATATATGAAGTGGTTAAAAGCGGCAATTTAAGAGAAAGGTTATTCGAGCATTAACAAAACAACTTTTAAACAAATAGTTATTCGTTGGGACACTGTCGTATATTTATAGTTAAATTTCGATTCCAACTTTCGGAATATGCCACAAAGGAAACTACGTTGATAAAAAGGATAAACAACTACTTATCATCTAGGAGGAAGTTGTCTGTTTGATCACAATAACCGTACACTTAAGAAGTTACTAAAAGCATTCATTGATTTAGAGGAATCCAATTCATTTAAATTACCTCCAAATTACTGTTTATTTGTATATCGCGAAACTGTCCTCTAGTTATGGAAGGAGAAGAATATTAAGTATTTTTCCGAAGTTTGTAAGCCATTAACGCAGTTCAGTTTTTTAATAGTATCAGAATTGTATTTGAAGCAGTAAAAACAGTTATCAAGATATCATAATTTGGATTAGATACAATGGGTACAGGATAGATACATAAGAAGCACTTACTGGAATATTCCTCTGACCTATAAAAAGATTATGGTTGCGAAGGGAAAATCTAGCAGTAGAAAAATCGCCAAAATCAATAGAGAATAAACGGATCTGATAGTTAAGTGAATAATGATCTTTAATTCAATCATATAACTACAAATTCGAACCAACCATGAATTAGGAATCCTTTAGAAAAATATATATCGTTCATGGTTGAGTTCATAAATTTATATCAAATTACTGGAATCCATGAAGAACCAAATGATAACGATATTCAAATAAAGTAACTTTGAACGTTGTCGATATCATAAACTTTAGTAAAACATAAATTTTTGATCATGAATAAATATTATTATTATTATTATTATTATTATTATTATTAGCTTTATTCAATATTATAATTTTGGTACAATATAGAATTCTCAGCGCAAAGTATTTCAACAAGTTTCCGTTTCTTTCTTCTTGGTCGGTCCTGGCGATAAATATTGAGGAATCGCCAGTAAGATGTTAGCACTTCAGTGAATGAACAACTGAATAATGTACATTCTTTTCGTTGTACATTGCCAGCAACCATATTGTCTCTTATTGAGTTTTCTGTAACTTTGACAACGAAAGGTTGTACACTTTTCAGAAACGCAGCAGAAAAGGTTATGCGATTAATAAACATAATGATATATTAAAACAAACAACAATAGATAACTTGTTGAAATATCTAGATGGCAGGAACAGGTAGCCCAGATGCTCAAGCAGGCCGCCTTGGACTTTATCAGTTTGAGACCAATAAAGTAAATTGCATTCTATAACAAATTGAATGAATTTTATTCTGGCTTATTCAAATTGTTCAGATTATATCATAATTTTTAAATGAAAATAATTGTTAAATGTATTCATCAATGTAAATAGTGAACTGTACATTTATGCAAAGTAATTAATTTAGGACTGAAATAATAAAAGTACTCGTCATTATAATGTAATGATTAATAGCATTTATTATACTCTATTATTACTCTTAACAGAAATATAACACTTATGAATCTTTTCATTAAACAATACAACACTGATTTTACATTAATTACATGATTCAATTAGTTAATTCACTAAATTTCATAGATCTTCACATTAATCATACTCACCTATATTAAATAAGCATTAAATCTTATAAATGTAGTTTATATGCTCTTTTTTTTAGATGAACCTTAAAATATTTTAGTAAAATGCTTAGAATTAGTTCAATAAACTGTCTATAGTATTTTAATGAATTTATTATTATTCATAAAACAATAATCAACGTAGAATGTAATGTTGAAACAAAAAAAAATGAAAGAAAAGTAATTTGTAACTATGTATGAATGAATGTATGTTAATAAAACAAAAGGTCTTTTAATTACATTAAAATAAATACTTAATGCATTTTGCATGTTATCATTTGTAATTGACGAAACTAATAAGAATTTGTTAGTAAATGAATGACGTTTAATTTAGTCTGTGTATTGGCATAAACAATTGTTACGTAAATGATACTAATTTAAGGCAGGATAATAAGAGATTTTCTGGGGATGTAGGCACAAGATCATGAGTTTGATTTGATAAGTTTTTGAATTGTATCCTACACTTACTGGTTATTACTATTATTGGTCTATTTTTAGATGAATTAATGAAAAATGGACCTCAGGTTAGTAGAAGACAATTTAGATCGCGAAAAAAAATTACATAATACTCACAATGTGTTTATTCAGTATTTGCTACAATTTTAAGACTTGAATGTACCTTAATAACATTCCTGCTTATTATTATTATTAAGATCGTGAAGAATAAAATACAAGATAAAGATATAAAGTATTAACTTCTATTTTATTGACAACTGACTTTTGCATCTTCGCGATCGAAATGTTTTGAAAGGTTTCAGATATTTATCTATTTATTATTATAATAAGTAATGAAAACAGAAATTAAAAAATACCAACCATGATGAAATAATTTGATTCATAAATACACATAATAAATTTTGTTTAAAAATCAAAATTCTGTGATTTAGCTTAGGGAGTCACAACAGATTGACAATGCCTATATCATGTCAAAATATCTTGCTTTCTAGCTGTTTCTAGTCAGCTCTATAATTATTGCAGTGGTTAACTCAAAAAGTATTAGAACAAAACGCGTAATAACTTGCCAGATTGCTAACCACTGTTGATTACTAATCACTTTTACTATAGAAAATTCCTATTTTGACATTTACTAAAAGAAACAAATAGAGAACCATATTCCATCAAATTTATCATATGGTTTACAAGTTCATCTGTTGTATCTTGCTGAAGCAGTCGGAATCCCTGTTCATAAACTTAACCTTCGAATGCGTCCGAGAAGATCAGATTTAAATCAAATCACTTTCATTCAGTTCTATTCCACATTTTGTCCACTTAATAACTAGGTGGATATCGTGATGGCTTTTAAAGCGAACGGTAATGGGTCGATTGAAAAGGAAATCGTTTGGAATTACTGAAGATAAAAAGGTGGGTAATCAGAGGCTAAGAAAGGAGCTCTAGTTTCAAGAAATAGAGTAGTGAATGGTTTTTCAAATCTTAACTGACCGATGTAGGTATTGCAAACAATAATAGTATTTAACTATTAGGGTATAAGAGTATGATGAAAACGGATTCAGGGACGTAAAACGAGAGGTCACTTCACAATTCATTAACTGATCTGAAGTGTTAAGTACACATTATCCTTATCGAACAAATGGTTAATAAAAATGAGTCGTTCTAATCATTAGATGAAGTCAGATAAAAAGAATGCTATTGTCATAGATGATTTGTGAAGAATCCGTTACACTAAACGCATGACTATCGATTACTTTTTTCTTATTTATTTATTCAAATATATTTGGAAATGACCTGAACTGACTTACATAGGGAGGTCATCAGTTATTCCCATCAACATTTCAGAACTTAGTTTAATTCAATTTTTAAAGAATTATTTTTCTAACTTCAGCATAACGTTATGTATAAATCAAACAGCTATAAATCTATTTTGAACAACAAAAAATCTAACACTGTCGTCTCACGTTTCATAGTGTATTATTTTTAGTCATATGGATATTTTAGTAAAACAAACAAACGTTTTTTATACTTGAGTAAATCATTCAAAATATCACCTCAAATATTTTTATACTTCATTCGTTTAGTTTTATTTGTTATGAAGAATGATTGTAATATAAATCAATAAAATACTTGAAGAAGGAATTTTCAGCATAATCAATTTATTAAGCTTATCTATTCATTACTCTTAAACATAATGAAAGCAATCCGGCAGTTAAGTAAGATAAACTTTATTTGATCAATTCTATTGTGATAAACATCATAACAAATTTTATCCTATCCTCCCAACTATTCAAAATAAACATAGTAAACAGATAAAAATGATTTTAAATTTTAACCATAAAAATCATTTTAACTATTCATTCATTAACAGTATTTACTTTTTATATTTAACAAAAGTCAGTGAACCGTTTAAAAGTAAGTAGAATAAATGAGTGACCTGGTCAATTCAGAAAACGCTACTTCATAATGACATGTTATTCGAAAATATTACAAGTAATACTTTCAGTAATTATAATTAACATAACATATGTCCATAAAACTCACGCGCTTTGTTCTACTTTGGACAACATTGCATCTTGTAACAGTACGGCCTCTTTGTGGACCAACTGATTCCGATTGGAGTTCAGAGGTAGTGGTTATGTTTTCGTCATTTGATAACATTTCAGATATGCTTTTCAGTTCAACGGATGAAGTTGATTGTGAAACATTTGAACTGTTATCAGGAAATATAGGCTTTTGGGTAGCTTCGGAAGTATGTGATTCATTTTGATCAGCTTGTATTGATTCAGTTAGATGAGTATCTTCATCCAATTCTGCATAATCAACATAAGAACGTTTAATATCAAAATTACAAGTTACAGATATAATTAAGTAAGCCTGCTTATACATGAAAGTACTGCAAACAGCTAATGTACATTCGATAATTCACAAGAGCATTTGTTTCTCATAGGAATGTTAATAATATGACATGTGGAACGATTAAATTACCATAAGCGTCTAACACACGTTTTCCCAAGCACTGTGTCAAAGTGTATAAATAGATAATCCAAACAAATACTTCCTTGTTTCATTCAAAGATTTAACTGCTCGGAGAGTTTTCATGGATTTGTCGGATTATATTAAACCTATCTTCGACTATGACTATTTTTTTCATATCCAAAACTAACCGAACCTGACTATGTAACACATAACTTGATTTGTAATGGAAATTACTGTTTATAGTACTTAATTCGTAGTAAGTAGGTAAAATTATAACAGAAAAGTATTAATAAATGTTACATGTTAGAATTTCAATAAATGACTAACTTCAATAAATCATACAAATAATTCTTGACATGAAATAAGGCAAAGATAAGCTGACCTGTAGTAAGATTATTCTACAGCCAAGGGTCTTAATGTTACTCCAAAAGGAATGGTTTTCTCGAGGATTCGCTGGGGAATTTATATGACTTTAAGTTATTTACATCCACAGTAAGTGAAAGTATACTGAAACGTTGACCTTATATGTTTTGACGGTTTTGGAAACCAACAACAACCAAAATAATTACATATGGGATCTATTTTCCGGACTTAGTCTTTAAAAACATAAGAATCAGCAAGCTGGAAACACGGATATAAGCAATATGGTTATTTGGTATTTAGATGTCAGCAAGAAAAGTTTTCTCTAACTCTAAGTAAATAAAATTTAAAACCGACAATATTGAAAACATTTCTGAGACTTCTAACTTTGTTCATAGGTATACAAAGCTATTCAAGTTGCGTAATTTATTGTTGTATTATCAATGCAACTAAAGACAAATATAATCCAAGCTAGCAAACCATCCTGTGTTCACACACAGAAGCATTACACTGACCTTGTTTTGAAGATTAGATATATTTTATTTGACAGAAACTACACGAATTTTCGTCTAATTTTTCATCGTAAGAACACTTAAGGCAACTTTTTATCATAAATACTCAAAGTGTTTTCTGCAACGTGACAATAAACACATAAGTAGCATATAAAATTAAACAGCAGTTTTATGCTTGTTTAGTTGTTTATCCGTTATTTCCTTGTAAACAGAATGGTTCACCTCACTACTGTTAAATCTTTTTTTCAGAAGATTATAAAAGCATAACGAATAGAAGTATATTTGTTTATGGCATTGAACGTTTATATGAGTCATAAAGTTTTGCTGATAATCCAAAGCCCATCTTCCCCATGTAGTATTTCAAATTAATAAATTTAGATGTTCAATAACCACAACACAATACAGACAGCTCCATTGGCAATTACTTGTGAACTAACAGAATATTTTAAAAATCTTTCTCAACACTTAGGACGCAAAAGAGTCTTTTACTCAGTATTTCAAAAAGTGAAAATAAATCAGAATCACAGTTAGTTATATGCTATTGAATGGATTCATCTTTCCTTTAGACTAGTTTGAATTGTTCATTCTTCATTAACTAATTTAGTTTTCTAATCTACTTATTCAGCCATGACGTCCATGTGCTCATATGCATGTTTCAGCAGCTTGAAACTTACCTTAATAAATAAATTTCATCATTAACAGATGTTAAAGCTTCTCAATTTATATTCTCTTCTTCACAATGAAGTGCTCAAATATAAAACACTGTGCCCTTTTGTTTTATTTCGTCGGGAAAATTGGATAGACGTACTTTATTTTCCGTTAGTACAGAAACATCCGGGCAACAAAGTTAATTTACATGTGTTATTTTATTACGATCGTTTTTTATACTTTATTCTAACACAGTATATTTAATCAGTAAAAGTTGAGCGAATTGCCTCCTATTAATTTCCTCGGGAATCTGTTAATAACTGCACGGAATTAAATATCTATCAACTTTCATTAAGATACAGGACGTTTCTCAGAATAGTTGTTTGTATGTTGGAAAACCCCATGAAACAATATTATGCCCGATAAAGTAAATCCTCATACTTTTCAGAGCCCTAAAGACCGTTACATTTTAGTAATGTTTAATAGCAACAGCAATATGAAGACCCAATAGTGTTCATCAAATAAATTTATCCGCTTTACTCTATTTCGTTTTCTTTCTTACGATTTGAAAATTATATAAACATATTCATTAAAATAAAATAAATTCCCATCTTTCTTAGCCATTGTATTTCATTATTATCAAGTAACAAAGACTTGAGGTCAGAAAAACTAGTAAATTATTATAGAACCCTATACAAACCCCTCTAATAAATAAATAATTAGTTGACTAAAATATACTCATCGATAATCATTTCTATTAATCGAACTGATCGATTTTTATCTGTTCATCTATGTCTGCGAAAGTGCGACTTTATATATGAGTTGAGTACTGAATTTAGTATTTCAATTAGTTTTACTTTAATTGCATCGTTATTATGTGTATTCATGTGGATTTAAACAATAGGGGATAGAATTTATATTTCAAGAATGAATAAGCTGTATATAGACATACGAATTAATCCCTAAATGACAGGCGAGATAAACATACCAAGAAACATTGAATTCAGATCGATAATAGTTTCCCTGAATCAAAATCGATGTCTAAAACCCTTTGACAAGTTAAAAATAATATTTACTTGGCATTAAGAATAAAAATTGCAAGAAATTAGTACCGAATCAAAATCTGTATGTAGTAGATAATGGTTTTAGTGAGAAATATAAAACGTAGTGAGTAAAAAATTATCATTCCCCTTTCCATAAACTAAAACCATATCTTTGTACTAATAATAATGAATATTATAATCCTGATAAAATACCAATTATATTGAAATTAGTTGGTTTTAATCGGTTCGTACATGAAATGTAGAGTTTTCTAACCTAGGTTATCCTGTACATGTCCATTTTTAATGCAAAATAAGTGAGCTTTAATATATATGGTTCATCTTTTACTAATAAACTGTGAGTGAATCATATGATATAACGCATTAATTTGAAATCAAACATAATTTGAAAGATTGTGCAATAATCTGGTAAACCAAAGGTTATACCTGATCATAAACCGTAGTGTATGAAAAAGTACATGCTCAAAAAATAATCATTTTTATAGAAGAATGAAACCAGTCAAATCCAATCTGTCATGAATAACCCGAAGGAACAACAATTGATCAACTTTCTAAATACATCCACTGAGCTTAGATGAACAAGTGTTTTATCGCATCATAAATCTTCAGAGATGAACTTAACACTATCATCCCTTCAGATATTGGATGACAGTTAAAACTAAGGAATGGATGGTAGCTAATAAAAAAACGGGTCTATAATTTAAGTGTTTGCTTGTCCCTTACTTACTTACTTACTTACACCTGTTACTCCTCGTGAAGGAGCATAGGTCGCTCACCAGCATTCTCCATCCAACCCTGTCCTGGGCAATCCTTTCCAGCTCCTTCCAGTTGTAATTCATCCTTTTCATATCTGCTTCTATTATCCGACGTAATGTGTTCTTTGGCCTTCCTCTTTTCCGCTTCCCTTCAGGATTCCAAGTTAGAGCTTGCCTCGTGATGCAGTTTGACGATTTGCGTAATGTATGTCCTATCCATTTCCATCTTCTTTTCCTAATTTCTTCTTCAGCTGGAAGTTGGTTTGTTCTCTCCCACAGAAGGCTATTGCTGATGGTATCCGGCCAATGGATGTTGAGTATCTTGCGTAGACAGCTATTTATAAATACTTGTACCTTCTTGATTGTGGTTGTTGTAGTTCTCCAAGTTTAGGCTCCATACAGTAGAATTGCCTTGACATTCGTATTGAAGATTCTCACTTTGATATTGGTTGAAAGTTGTTTTGAGTTCCATATGTTCTTCAATTGTAGGAATGCGACCCTTGCTTTGCCGATCGTCGCCTTTACGTCTGCATCGGATCTTCCTTGTTCATCGATGATGCTTCCCAGGTATGTGAAGGACTCTACATCTTCCAGAGTTTCGCCATCAAGGGTGATTGGATTGCTGTTCTCCGCTTTGAATTTGAGGACCTTGGTTTTCCCTTTGTGTATACTGAGGCCTACTGATGCAGAGACTGCTGCTACACTGGCTGTCTTCATCTGCATCTGTCCGTGTGTACGTGATAGAAGGGCTAGGTCATCTGCGAAGTCCAGATCGTCTAATTGATTCTGAGCTGTCCATTGTATTCCGTGTTTTCCTTCAGATGTTGAGGTCTTCATAATCCAGTCGACCACCAGAAGAAAGAGGAAGGGGGAGAGTAGACAGCCTTGTCTGACTCCGGTCCTTACTTGAAATGCATCTGTCAGCTGTCCTCCATGCACGACCTTGCACTGTAGTCCGTCGTATGAGTTCCGGATTATATTGACAATCCTCTCAGGAACTCCGTAGTGTCGAAGAAGTTTCCATAACGTCCTCCTATCTATCTACCTGTTGTTGAGAGCTATCTTGAATTCATTGAGTTTGACAGTATCTCGAAGGAGGGCTGTATTGAACCTTTGTAGTGCTGTTTGTCCACTTGTCCAGTTCTTTTTTAGCTTCAATTTTAAATTGGCTACAACTAGGTGGTGATCTGAAGCTACGTCAGCACCTCTCCTGGTTCTCACATCTTCCATTGTCCTTCGGAATTTTTTGTTGATGCAAATATGATCTATCTGGTTCTCTGTAGTGTGGTCCGGTGAGATCCATGTAGCCTTGTGTATACGCTTATGTGGAAATATTGTGCCTCCTATGACTAATTTGTTGAATGCACACAAATTTGCAAATCTTTCTCCATTTTCGTTTCTTTCTCCCAGTCCATGTCGTCCCATAATATCTTCATATCCAGTGTTGTCTATTCCGACCTTGGCATTTAGATCTCCCATCAGAATGGTGAGGTCCTTT